TATTATTTTAAATATATTGGTTTATGATAACAATGTGTTTTCACTCATTTCAATGTTTAAACTTTTCAAACTAAATTCAAATCTACAACACATGACAGCATTAGCATAGGTATTGAAATGTAACTCAAACTAAATGTTGTCAAATCAATAATTAGCTTATTGTAAGGATCAATGATAGTTTGCAAACTCTGCTAATCTGTGTCACAATTGTCTACTGTATATGTCACACCAATTATTGGTGACCAATGGCCAGGTGTGCAGTACCTGTATATGAATGCTACTCTAAAATATTAATGTGATCATCATGTGATAACCACAGGTATTCCTAATGAAATCAATACAACACATTACTGTACATGTAGTATACTGTACAGTGTACTGGGATATGTAGAGTATACTACTGTACAGTATTATTGCTATGTTTTAAAGCTCGAAATCAGTGTCCAATAGTAGACAAGAGACTGACTGTACGTCTGTATGAATCATATGATAGGAGACGTCAAACCAATAGATGTCTCTAAAGTGTGTATAATTGGAGTCAATGTTTACAATCGCTGACAGAGAGACAGACTGTGAGCGAAGAGTATTGTCTCAATTGGTTTCAAAATTATCACTATATCTGACATCTGGTTGAGTGACAATCACTGCAATCACACGACTATGACATCCACTCCAAGAAGTGCGGGCGAAGACTCTCTCAATGGTATGTCTTAACGCTTTCACTATTGTTTGCCATTAAGTGTTGAATCCATACAAAGACAAGCATTTAAGACAATTGTCACCCATTTGTGCCATTGATGTCCATTTGGACAAAGAGTAGAGTAGAGTAAAGACAGTGATAATGGATGGCGGAGTTGTGTCGGCCCGAAGAGGGTCTCAATGGTTGACTCGTTGGAGACAATTGTCTTGAGATTACATAAAACTACGCAATAAATGATTGAATAGTAATCTATGGCTGAGATTGCAATCAATTGATTGTCACTTCACTTATCATACGGTTTGACAATACGTTTGTCACGTCTTCACCGCTCGACTCAATGACAATCAAATCAATGCCTTTTCGCTACTCTTTCGCATCAAAACAATCGATTGATTGATAAATGCATTAAATTATTGATGAAATAATGTCTTAATTAAGTTGTAATTGCATTCAAATGGCATTTAATATCTGTTTACTGAAAACCTTTGAACCATATGTGCGACCAATGAATGGGTCGTTCACTTCTTGGGCTCAGCAATCAAAGCAAATAACATGTAAACCAATGCCAGTTGAATGAGTTAAATGCCATCACTTTTAATCATTCAATCAATAGGTATTGCTTTCCCTCACTTCAACACTTCCCTCACATTAACTAATACTGTATTAATATAACAACATTTGAGAGCAAATATCCATCATTTGGTCGTTTAAAACATATTGACATTAATGTTATAATTGAAAGCAAAAGTTTGTAAACAATGATTACATAAGTTGTGATTATAAATGCGTTTTATTTGTTTGATATGACTATTGATTACAAATAATGACAATAAATGTTAGGTTTAGACATATGTTAAACACCATTTGAAAAGTGGTCAAAACTGGCTCTTATATTAATAACTAACTGTAAATATAGTAATCACTAAATCTTGTAATTCTCGCACATATTTTGAATTACAATTAATTATAAGTAAAAAAAGTAAAAGATTTTGTAGATATAATGTTGTGACACATAATAGCTATAAATTGCATAAAACTTTAACAGTAATATTAAGATAGCTTACAGTTAGTTACTGTTAGCCTTTAAAACTGGCCAACTTTCAAATAATGGTTATATTATATTTTGGGACACATTTTTACACATAGTTTTGATTTTGATATCTATATTGACATTACATTAGCATTAGTTGCAAATTAGCCGCAATTGTGTTACCAATTGGTACTATTTGTTGAATACATTGAATTGTGTTTAATAGAGTCGTGGGTCGAAGTGAACGGTAGCCAAACGATGGGAACTCCCGTTCATCTGATGGGAAGAAGTGGTGGAATACACAGTGGTTT